GATTTTGATGGACTGAAACAATTTGGCCCGAAAACGTATGTACAAGCTAACTGACCCGCAATAACATCAGAACTGTTTTTGAAGTCTGTTTTTGATTTTGTGACTTTAACTTTGACTTAATTATATTATCTAAAATAATTTTTAACTCTACGCATCTTATAAATTAAAATTAAATAAGCATTTTAAATATATAAAATATTTGTAATACCACGAAATGCAACGCGAAATAAGGTAACACTATTTTTCTAACAAGAAATTTACATCTACTAAAATTTTGCCGATGGCTCTTAAAAAATCATAAATAAATTAATACGTAACACATAAATAAATTATCACGGTATCGATAGTATCAGAGTCGGTTTTAGAGGAGTTGCATGAGAATCGTCCTAGTTCCCATGTAATAACACGATAGAAGATAACATTAATGTGCAAAAGGATCATTTTGCAAACGCGGACAGAATGATAAGCTTTATAATAAAGACGTGTGTTGTTCACGAGAAGATGTTAACCGGTGATATTCGGTCCCACCGATATGTTTGCACATTCACCGTGCACCATCCTATTGTCAGTATATTCACATAAGGTGCATCTTAGACTGTGCATCGAGCTGAGAGGTAGTTATCCGAGAGATGCAATGTTATAGACCACATCTATAAAAGAAGCAGAAATCAAAAATTTGCCGCATAGGCGAAAACGGAAAGAACAGGAAAAGAGTATCTCTTTTCAAGAGTGCAGTGTGACAACTAGAGATCACGCAGTCTAGACGGTGTGCCATTTCGTGTTTATTTAGAAAAGATCCACTAAAGAGCATGTACAAGTCAGAAGGAAAAAGATGCAGCGTAGTGAGAACTACCGAAGTCATTTTTACATTCAGATCAGGTAAAGACCAGACAGTATCTATTGAGTCTAGACAATAGAAAAACGTATGTTGTGCTGGAAGAATCTCGGGGACAACGTTGCTCACAGTTAACATTTAAAAAAATCAACTTTATAAATCATGAAAGAAAAGAAAAAGTTATTAAAAAATTAATATTAAGAATTAATTTTGAAATCAATCCGGAGCTTATTTTACAATGACAGAGAAAAATAAAAATATCGTAGGAATAAATACATGATATGATATCAACGAATTAATGAATATCGCAGAAGAATGAATATATATATATGAATTATCCATGTGAAAAATTAAATAATGAAGTTATTATTAAATAATAAATTATTTAATTTTTTGAATTGTGTGCAATCTAATATATAGCAACATTGTACAGAGATCCGCACTCTCCGAACTTGAAAAAAACCCGATTCAAGAAGAATTGCTGTATAGTCACAATGAAATCAAACTAAAGGTCAAGCGATCAGAGAGAAGTATAGCTTTCCCATTCGGTGTCATAGAAAGAACAATATATCGGTGGTCTACGTAGGCCATACATAAATAAAATTACAGTGGGCTGTATCGGTAATACTACCAAAGCTGCTATACTGTCTGGTGTTGGTGAGGATATTCTGGTAGTTCAAAGACGTTTGAGCGACGGCTGAGGGGTAGCTTCTCATCTCCGTGCTACGCTGAGCGTAGAATAGCGAGACTGTCGGAAAAGCGGCGGCAGCACCCGTGGCGGAGTCCACTTCGAAGTGGCTGGTAGTGGTGCTCAGACACTTCTGGAGCTTCCTTATGCCCTGGGTGCGCGGGTGACGTTGATCTAACGTGACACCCTTACGAGACACCGTATTAATTTCCTCGTCGGTACCGCTAATCGCGCCGGCAGCGGCACTACGAGTACCCGAGCGAATTATGTTAACACCAGCACTAGAGCCTCCACCACCATCACTATTGTAGGCGCCGTTGCTGCCGCTGCCACCGGTGCTACAACCATCACTATTATCACCATTGTCACCTCTCTCACCACCAACACCCACTGTACTTCTTCCTGTCACCGGCAATACGCACATCCCGTTCATCTACAAATCAGGCGACAAGTCAAACGTGAAGACAAACATACGACTCAGTCAATGCTTTAAAGTTTAGTTTATAAAGCAAATTTGTGTGTGGACTGGACTCTTTACATGGAAATGTAATGTAAACGCGGATTTTTTATCAAACTTCTATTTAAACGAAATAACAAAGATGCATGGAAAATGAATTTTCATGTTCGTTTTTAATTTTTGCTCTCGTTGAATTGTTATACCGTACGGGCAAATGTTATATTTGCATATTATTTTATCATTTATATTCACTCTCTATAATAAAACATATACGATGCACGTCAAGCTATTATATTATAGCTTGTTTCGAATACAATATAACAGTAAAAATATTCTTTTATTATAATTTTGTAATATTTAATTTTTTTAATCTTTTACAATAATTCTTAATTAATTAAAAAAGTAAATGGAACTAAAACGACCATGTAAGCTTAATAGAAATATTAAAAATATTAAATGCCAAATAATATCAAATAAAACGGCGCAGAAATTTATTATAATCCGTAAAAGTATCATATTTAAAAATATTTAAGCAAATTTATTTAAATATCAATTGTTATCGATGTGCAATGAGGCAAAATGGGCTAAAATATGAATTGTTTAAACATTTTCATAAAATCTCTTTATATGCATATATAGGATTTTTTTAATTCCCACCCTAAAATCGAAGAGATTCTCAAGCTATAAATAATAAATAATGTAACAATGAAACTGAACTGATGAGCTGGAAATCGCTGGCGGGAAAAATGTTGATTGACAATACGATTATTTTCTCCTTGTTTGCCTTAATTACTAAATGATGTATGTATGCATGTACGTGAAAACATTTCAATAAAGAATTTGCCTCTTCGTTCTCGTAAATCGAAAACGCTCTTCTCACGTTGTTTCGAAATAGTGACACGGAATAGATTTTCATCTTGTGCAGATGGTGCACTATTTGGGAAACGATAACTCGTCAGAACCGATTATCGAATCTGAATAGCGTGATGACAGTTTACGTAGACATTTGGAGTGTGGCGGAATCGTGGCATCGGAAGCTTCATTAAACTGGAAAATCAGGAGATCGAAACCCTTCTCTTCCACCTCATGACTCTGCGTTCCGTCATGCGGAAACAAATGACAGAGATCCCTCGATAAAGGCGGACCGAAAAACACTTCCGTTCAATTCGATTGGACGACTTTGTCTCAACTATTCGAGACTTGTCGAGTAAGTTCGATACAATGGTTCATTGTTGCTGTCTGCACTGGGGCTGACGTTACAGAAGATCTCGCAAGAGGAAAACGTAACGATAAACGCCCGCACGTGTTGCATACCTCGTGCTTGGTTGCTCGCTATGTGGAATATCAGCATATTATGCAGAGTCCTCTATAGCAGTCAGTCAATGTCGAGATAAAAATTTGAAATAAAATCTGAAGTAATATAATTCGTAAAGCATTCTGTCGGAAACGTCTATAACACGCGTCAATTTCGCACCTTAATTATAATTCAATAAAAGATAGAGATAACTTTTTGTCTCGTTGTCATTGATGATGCTACGACCATCAGTGTTATTATTATTACTATTACTATTTGCGTGCAAACCATCGAAAAAATTTCCAAAAGCTTTGAAAGCAATGTATGTACCGAGAGAAAGGTGTCTGGATAATGTAAGAATTGGAAAATCAGAAGAAAGAAATCAAATAGTGATTCTACATGTAGATTTGAAGGCAAGTAGATGTACTGCTTGATGTTAATAGTCTACGAATAGAATCCGATCTCTCTTGGATTACCGTGACCGAGCTATAGAACGACAAGAACTCTGCCTATTAATTTGTAACGTGTAATCATATATCTTGACTTGAGATCTCGGTGTCAAGAAGTGTGTACTTTTCTCTCGGTGATAAGAACAACTGCCAAAATATGAAAAACCTTATTTTTTTACCTGAATCGACCTTGCTGTCGGGGAAGACCGCAAAATTGATTTGAACCTGAAAAAGTGTTAAAGTAGAATCTCTTCAAATTCGCAATGTAAAATTGTGTGAATGGAGGACTTGGCGCCGGTACGAATAGGGTTTTGCGTTAATCTCCTGTTGATATCCCACGAGGGTAAGAGGGCGGGGAGGGATCTTTCCCATATTTTGCGAGCATAAGAACAATGTTTACAAGTAGCCATAAAACTTGGAATGGAGTTGACACAAATGGATATACCACGACCAAACGGGAGGCGATGCACTTTCAAAATATCTACTATGCATTCCAGGTACTGGTAACCTAAGGGGTGGAAATATACTAGAAATTTTAAGTGTACAGCTTTTTCCCAACCTATTGACCTATCGACCATCACAGAGCAAATAAATTGCAAACTAAGAATGGTTTGACAGGATAATGGCTTTAAGAAAAGGCAATTGATGCGGTTTAATGAAGCATTGACATATCCTTTAAAATGTATTCTTCTGAAAATAGTATATCAGAGACACACTTTTTTATGGATATAAATTTAACATATAATAATATAGACATGTGTTTGCACCGGAAGAACTTTTGCCTGCGCATTTTAGGCGTATAATTTATCACAACCTGTCCCAATAAACTCGTAGTTCTGCCTTCACAGTTAAAACAGTGGAACTTGCAATATTACATTAACTTATAATATTTATAATACCAACTTTATATGATTTAAACGATAGACCGTGAACTCTTTGAAGTTTAAAGTCTAACAGGCACCTTCTGATCCACACAAATCAGGAATGCATTTTAAAGAATTATCATTTTCAACATAGATCGCGCGTATTGTTTTGTCCTCTAGCAAAGAATTGTCTGCACTCTTCTATTAATTATAAGGCCTTTTCTTCATGATCGAAGAAACGTCGACACACTTCGGATGTGCCCCGTAATGTTATCAATGAACTTATTGACTGACCATTATATTAGACTCTACATTTTGCGTGATCAGATTTCACAGCAGTCTCTTATTCCACATAACTATAAAATATTTGCGTTACAAGAAACATCTATCAACCAATTTTTTTATTTTTAATCTCACGATTGATGATATCTACGATGCTTCTGTGCTATTAACTTCTTATACAAAAACCTTAAAAGAACTAGTGTCATCAATTCAGCCTTCATTTCTATCGATATCTAATATGTTGAAAATAAATATTCACGAAAATTAAATTTAAATCAATAAATAAATAGATGTGCATATAATAATTTTGAATAAATCATCATTTGCATACTGCACATATTAAAATATATGCAACACATGCTCTTTAAATGTATATGATAAACACAAAATAAATTGCTACCGTCAATCATTTTTTTCTGTTTAATGACGTATAGGAATGTGTATCAATAGTATTTCAATTGCGTTATAATTGTGTTGCTATTTCATCAATATGCACTGTATTGAACATGCAATAAGTAAAGAATAACTAACGGATAACTATAAGAAGATAACTATAAGGAAATTTGCGAGCTATATTACTCAATTTTATGTATTTACGAGCATATTGTTAGATTTATGTGATGTATATAAAGTCCAAAAAGCTGTAAAAACAATTAATATTTAATATTTATTTGTGTTCAACAAAAACTAATCTATCGTTTATAAAGTTTAAAGTTGTCAAAGGAAATTGCAAGAGTTTTCTTGCAAGAGTATATATTAGAAGCTTATTATTGTCACCTACACATTGATCGATTTACCTAAACATTAAATGTTTCACATAAACCTTTGATGGTGACATGTTATAATGAGAAAGCCAATATTGGGTAACAAAATTAAAATCATTTTATATGTTTTATGAAATTGTATATAACTACAAAATCTCTACTAATTATTTCTATAATTAAAAATTAGGAAAGCTCGAATATTTAATATACAAGTATATGACTCGATGATAACAAACTTTCAATTTTAATTTTGGAAAAAATAATAAAATAAAAAATATATATATGTATACTCTGTTCTAACCTGATTAAATAAATTAAGCAAGTGCGATTTAAACGTGCGAAATTATTGACATTTGAATTATTTATTCTAGATAAGTTTGTTAATTTATTACAATAAAGTTTACCCAATCCTGGCAAAGATGCAATTAATATGAGTTGTGTTAACGTTTCCTCTGGAAAAAAAATTTTTAACGCATCTAAGAGCATCCTAGGCTTTGTGTTAAAAAAAAAAGAGGCAGAAGCACGTCCAGGACCAGCCGAGCTCTCTCTCTATGGTTAGTCTACACCCACCACATGTTCTCAACCACAGATACAAATGCAATTTCATTGTTAATCGCACGCTTCCCGATCGAGGAAGATTTCGATCGTTAGTAAGATTAATTACACGCACAACATTCACATTTAACGTGAAAATCTAACGAAGTAATATATCTCTAAGGACACACGGACGACACATAACGCTCTTCTACGTTAAATGTATAAACACTTACTGAATCTTCTCATAAGATTGCCGGTGAACGATTCTGATGAGGTAGCACTCTCCTCGCATCTTAGGTCACAAACGGCTGTCTCGTTCTTGGAAAATTTTAGATTCGGCACCGAGAGCAAACGGCCCTCTCTCTTTGCTTGTTTGATTTTGGCAATATACCTCAATCTTGACGGTTTTGCCTCGTGTTCGGGCAAAGACAGGTTCATCGGTCTTACCGCTTCAGTTTTCGCGCCGATATTGTCATTGCTCATTACCGTTTTCTCATTCTCGTTCTCCGTCGGGCTTCTAGCCTCTTGGATCTCTTGCTTCTTGTCATCAGTCTGAGGACTGTCGTGTCCCGGAGATTGACTCTCCGGCGATAACGAAGACTCAGAGTCAACACTTTCAACCGGCGACAGCGAACTTGTGCTAGCCGCTTCGATATTGCAGTAAAACGTGGAAGACTTTTGACTGCCAGTATCGCTGCTTATCTGCTGACATTGGGGTACTTGCATGAGCCCCGACGACGAGCTCTTTCGGAAACATAAATATGTACATATTGTAAAACAATATTAAAATTATATAAAAAAGCAGAAATATACTTTCACTAATATGAAAAATAATTTCCGAGACGTAAGCACTCAAGATTAATTTCTCTACATAAATTTGTATAATTAGATATAATTCTATATAATTTAAAATTAAATATTTCTTTCATGAAATCTTATAAGTCAAATAAGAAAGAAACTTTATATTGTATTATACTTTATATTGTATACTTATAAGATATACATATTACAAACGTTGCAAAGATATGAAAATGCAACGACTGCATTGTAAGTTAACACTAAAATGTTTTAAGACATTTCGCGTAGACGTAAACCGCACAAACAATAATGATAGAAATAGAAAAACTTAAAATTATTGATGATAGAATAATGATAAGTAAAGCACGTATTAAAAAAACATACAAGTACCCCATTCTGAGAAGACACCGAGGACGGTGTAAAAGTATTTTTAATCTTCAGATCAACCTTGCTTAGTTGTCTCTTGAGACTAAATCCCTTCCAACCTTGGCTTTTCTGACACTCGTCGCCGTTAGGAATGTTACCCGCTTTATTGGATTCGTTCGTGGTTTCCTCCGCGCTCGGTTTATCACTACTGTTTCCAGTCTGACTCTCATTGCGAGGACACTGTTGCTGTTGCTGTACTTGTTGGATCGAATCCGCTATCCTTGTAACTATCGGCTCGAATTCCATCACGGATTCTCGTTGACTCTGATGGATTTAAGATGTTGGGCTTTGCACAATCAATCAGTTCGTAGGTAAAAAAAAATGGTATATATATTGGACCTAATTCTAAGAACGGATTTTAAAAAGGACTTTATGCAATTTTCGCGTTCGTGTTCCGTAAGTGTCCACTAATAGTGGTGTAGACTAATCCTTTAATATCGTGCTATCGTACGATCTGCCGTGTCTGTAAAAAACGCGTGAAATAGAAACATGCCTACTAAAGAAAAAGCACAATATGAAATTTAAATTGAAAGCTACTGCAAACGTATGGTCACTTGTCACTTCCCAGGCTCGTGAAAAAATTTGAATTGAAGAGTGCAGACAGGACAAAATGATTAAATTCGGGGTTTTTTTCTTATTAAATCTGTCTGCCTACTCTTGATAATTGCCTAAGATGCTCGTAGAGACGTAGGCCTTCGATATCGCTAGTCAATGAAATATTGTAATGTATCATTGTATAAATGACGATTATGCCAAAATATCTCATTTTTTAATGATTATTCGTAATGTTAAATAAACTTTTGGAGCACATGTAGAGTATTGTTAACAACTTCTTCCCGCTATTGAATCGTTATTGAGAATTGAATTTATAAATTCTGAATAATGAACGATCAGATTAAAGTATTGTGAATATATATGTATAAATGAGTATTTAAAAATATCGCACATTGTCATTGTGCCTGATATGATTCATAAACGAAAAGAATACGGTTAATTGTACTGGTACCTTTATGCATGAGTTATTAATAGTTTTTGTTGAGGGTCTATAACTTTCTCTCGATAAGAGAATAATATGAAATAGCAATCATTGAATCTCGACGATATTACAAATCCCTGGAAAGGAAAATCCCTAATTTATGAAAAATATAATATGAAATCAGCTTATATATAACCGAATTAACATATACATTTCATATCTGTGCAGTGATTAAGTTACAAGTCTTATCTACACTGTTCATGTAAAATAAACAAAAAGAGAATCAACAAAATTACATATATATGTACTAACAAGCATGCGAGTACATTTATGGAAATATTGCTGGAAGGTAACTGGATACTGGCTTCATAAAATAGCTCTGCGAACAGTTGTACCATTTGTTCGATAATAATTCTCACTTGATTTGCTTTAAGCAAAAACATGAAAAGTTAGTGATGATCTTAAACAATGTGGTATATAATGTATGCATTACATCAGTAAGATGACAGTACTAGGCGCTGATAAAGGTAGAACAAGCATATACAAAAATGTTACATGTCTATCTAATTATTTAACGAATTGGAAATTTATATTGCAAATTTATATGGTTCAATAAACTTTGCTTTCACAACCAAGGTAGAAAATAAAGTGTAATTTTTAGCAATAGTCACAAAATTGTGAACTATAAAACAAAATATACAATGATTTAATTTAATTCCATATAAAAATGTGAATGTAACTTGATGAAATCTCTCATATTGTTGTTTATTTATTAGCAGTTAATTTCATTTCTTCATTAAAAATGATTACATACAATAATAAATGACAAAGCTTCAATAATACTTTAATATTAGAAAAAACTTTCATTAACATATAAAATATCATTACGTAATCATATAAAAATCATAAAATGTCATAAAATGTTTTATCTTACTTGTAATATTTGTATATCGATATATCTTTAATCACCTGCTAGATATTTGATCAATAATTGTGTAATGCTGACATTTACTGATGTGATGTACATATATAGCTGAAACATGTTATAATTATTATTACACAAACACATTTTGTTTGTACTAGTAAATTATTTGTACATACACTAAAAATATTTCTTTATAAAAACATTTGTTTTATTATCTACAATGTCCAAATTTTTATCTTCTAACATTGTACTACACCACCAATGTTACATTACGATAAATATATAACACAAATACAGTTTTAAAAATTCTGTTACTAAGTTAATAATTGTTAACATAACAGTATAGCAAACATCAATTAGTGTACACTGCTACTAATCAAATCATGTATATAAAAAAAAGAAACACTCATCTAAAAACATCATTTAGTAATTAGAGATCATTTTTAAGTTTTTCTTAATAATATTTCTCAATTTCTCAAACATAAAACTTTCCTAAATACTGAATACATATGATGCTTTGTTATCTCAATGACATTTTAAATTTAGTGTACTTAATAAATTTTCTATAATACATCATACATAAATTACGTGAGCACTGCTAATGTCTCGCGTAAAATTTATGTTGCACATTTATATTTCTCATGCATTATTGTATTTTATATTGATTTCTAATAATCTATGTTATATAATAAAAAAATTATGAATAGTTGTAAACAGTGTCGTAAATTTTCATAAATAATGAACATATGCACGTACATATATATTGAATACATTTTTACAAAATAATATTTAGTTTCCGAAGCAAATTAATTATAAATTATAACGTCAACATTAATTACATTAATATTATTTCTATGATCATAGTTATAAATATTTTGCATTTACATTTTTTGTATGAAGTCTATGCACATGCACAGATTCCACCAAATATTTATGTAACCGTTGCTATACTTATTATGGACTAAGTAACTAATGTTTTTAATACTGCTTTTCTATATTGTTTCTACTTTTTCATTTGTTTATTTGTACTCATTTACTACATTCAACATTTTATTATTCAATTACAGATTAAATAATAAAAACCAAATTCGTATCACCAATTGCTAACTACTCAAATAACATAATAACATAAATAATATTCTATACTGATGACAGAGCAACATTGTACAACAAAAAAAACATAACAATTTCTTCAACAAAAATATATTTGATCTTACTTGCTTCAATGGTAGACACATAATAGTTAGCTAAACATTAAATGCAAAATATATGTGAGTACAACGAAAAAAAAGTGTTATTTTATATATATGAAATTACATTAAGAAAAAAAAGTATTTAACATTTACATGTATGCATTGAGATATATATTTTCTTAAATAACTTTAATATTTTGTCAATAATAAAGAAAAGTGTTTTGTAATAACAAAGAAAAGTCACATTGTTATAATTTGTAAAGAAAATCTTCGCCACATAGAAAATGACAAGATTGACCAATAGTTGTCGATATAAAATCTTTTTTCGTAATAAGAAAATTTCTCAAAATAGATTTTTTTTAAACATATTTTCATTAAACTTAATAAAGATTACGTTGTTTAAGTCATCTGTTAAATAAACGTTCAATACATTGAAAATTAGAGATTATTCCTTTTAAGGTACAACTGCTCGAATTTTGTCAGATATATTTAAAATCACAATTGTTTTATTCTTCTAATATTATATGTTATTGTCTAATATTATCTGAAAATTTGCTAAATAGAGAGTTTAGAACTCTTGGATATTTTTGCCACTAATAAATTTATTTAAGATTACATATATTATAGTAAAAAATAATAAAGTTAAAGAAACATTCTGCATGTAATTTATTTACTGTAACATATGGAAAAAATACTGTTACTAAAGAATTTTCTATATGAATAAAATAAGTATTTAGTATTCGATTCAATATAATTACATATACAGTTTAAATGAAGTTTAAAGTACCGTAACTGCAAGTAATATCTTTTTACTCTTTATTCAAATTTAAATGCAAATAAAATTTACATATAATATACTTCTAAAGCACTTAGAGAAATATTATGCTTAGCAATGAAAAAATTAATAATTAAATAATATGATAAAATTAATTTGTACATACTAAAAAATATCTAACATATCTTAAAATCACATTTGTAAGCGACTGTAAATAGCAACTTAGTGTCATTAAAATTCGATGAAACACGTTTGTTTCCATATTTTCTAATCGTGTTTTCTAATTTAAAAATAAATTTTAATTACTTATTAAAATTATATATTACATAAATTTTAATTACTTATTAAAAGGTAACTTTATTAGATGTTATTAATAAAATATCGTATATTTCAAATTTTAATTAAAATATTTTTTACTATAATCATCACCTTTGATTAAAATATATATTATTATTCGCGTGTACTTGCATGTGAGAATAAATACTTTACCTTTTTGTTGCCAACATTTATTTTGCTTTATAATATATTTAAAATAGTTTTTTTAAAAAAGATAAGATTATATAATTTTTAGCGAATTATGCTGTAATGCATAAAATTACAAGAATTTTAGAGCATAATGAAGAATAAAATTGTAGAAAAATTCCTCAAACAAAAATAGACTAATAAATTACAATAAAAATCTTCAGGTCATTACTTTTCATTAAAAAAAACATGTACCGTATTATGCAAGTAAACAAAATTTATATAGCTTTTGTACACGCATTTGTGTAATGATAATAATTTTTTAAATATTATTTTGAGGTAGTAATTTATATTTACGGGATCTCGAAAAAATGTTTTATTCAATCACAAAAATTTAAACTGCGATATTCTTTCTAAATTCTTTTATGTAATTATAGTAATTTACTTATGTAAACATTTTGTAATCATGCAATAAAAAATAATGTTGGCACTTAGAGAAAGCGGAATGCAAGATGTAAAAGTTCTAGATCCTTCTAGATAAAATCAAGGGTAAGAACTGGGAGAATTCAAAATGTACACAGAGTTCTAATAGAAAAAGAAATACATTTTACCTGATCTGAACTTGGACTTCGTGCCTTATCTTCATTTTCTCGTTTTAATTCGTCCTGCCGTTTGGGACTTCGCAAGACGCGTTGATAAGGATCGCCACCACCAAGATCACTGGTGTTCAATACGACTAAAGAGATCTTCTGCACGATGTCCACTATCACTAACCCCGACTCATTTCCATAGGCCAATCTAAACATTCAAACATCAAAACATTCAAAGTGTTGCATACTGTCTGCCTATGATATGCAGTGACATTTTTGAAAATTTATGCCTAGTAATATATGTTAATGTCAATTCAATTACGAAATACTCACAGGCCGTATGAGGAATTTAAACTGAGGGATGTTATATTTTCGGGTAGTTCTCCAGGAGGTGCAGTTGTCAAACAAATCAATGTCGCTTGAAAACCGGCTGGCCTTTTCTGTAGTCCCGTTTTGACTTTGAGCGGATGATTGAACTCTATAGTCTTCGTTTCCACGTTTCCTACGGTGTTTCCGGTTGCCGGAGATTCACGATCCGGTGAATTGTCCGCTTCTTTTAACGGATCCACCGATAAACATATTTCCAAAGTCTGTAATATCGAAAAAAAATCGTTTTATTCTTGTTATAAAAAAAAAAACACGAATGCAGCGTAAACAAAATACTGTTATTATGTAAATAAGATTTAATGAAGTGATATAATATCTAGATTAAAAAAGAATATTAATCGTTTCATTTTAAGTTTACTAATAGCAGCGCTGGCATGTATTTTAAATACTTTCATTTTAAATACATTTGTAATGCAATTGTACTTCATAGCGGGGCACATCAAAATATTTTGTATTTTATATTTCAAATCGAAAGTTTAAATGTATTTTGTATTTTGTAGTTCAAATGATAAGCTTAAATGTCAATCTTAGTATTTGAAATATAAAATATAAAATATTATATATTTTCAATCTTTCGATTTGAAATATTGAAATCAAAATACAATTGTATTACAAATACTGTATTAAAAAAAAAAATATTTGAAATACATGTCCAGCCCAGCTCTGACTAATAAATAGTAGCGGAAAGAGGTAATACATTAGTAAACAAGTAAATGACACTTACCACTACTTCAGACATACTTTCAACCTTTTTAAATTTGAACAATACGATATGCTTGCCACTTCCTGCAATAGCTAATTTCCGACTTTCAGGACAAAGGAAGATAAGTTGAATCGCTAACGGATCTTCCTCAGAATCTATACTACGCGTTCTAGTTTTTTCAAAAAGTTTCGCCGTCTTTAGTTTGTAAAGGACTTGTAATGTTCCCGCTGAAGCGTCCCAAAACTTTATACTGCCATCGGCATGCCTGCGGACAACATATATGTAGCCACAGAAATTTAAACAACTTATTGATTATCGCTTAACTTGTGATAACATGCATGTACGTAGTAACACGTACAATATTATCATGCATTTTAACTTATGAATATCATCATGATTAATAAAAAAATAAATTCTTTATTCATTGACACAAAGTTATATCCATAATAATATTACCCCGTAAGAATAATTTCGTTATAACTGCTAGAACTGGAGCTCCATTCGCCACCGGAGATAGGCCATTCTTTCTCGCTAAAGCCAGTCTTCTTCTGTGACTTTGATCCAACGGAATAAAATGCAGGTACTAGATCCGAAGGGCAATCCGCAAAATATGCACAACATGTCACAGGAGATTCATGAATATCCATAGGATATGGATTCTCAAAACAAGGGAATCCAGTAGTTAACAAATCTATCACAACCAGATCATTTTGTAATAAAACAACAACAGCATAAGGATCTTGAAAATCTGAAAAATGATAATAGTAATGATTAGTGCTACCAAATAATAGATATCATATATATATATATATATATACATAAAATTATAATACTGATGATACGTATAATGATAAAATTTTCATCATTTATACTGTAGTTGATAAAGATTAACTTGTAGTTACAAAGAAAAAGTAATATTTTATTTGAAAACATTAGAAAGCATGTTCTACTGTACCACTAGCCCATGGACTATCACACAGCGTTATAAAGTCTACAACATTATGTTCCATTTCGAGCACCGTAGTAGTTTTTCCATGCATCACTGTAATGCTGGGTGTTCTCCCAGTGGTGTCCTGTGCCAATCCACCAGAGAATATCACATATGCTTCTCTGAAAGTTTATGTTTAGCTCGTATATTACTTAAGATTAACAAATAGTTATTACTTAAAACTCTAATATAATGAAAACTATCTCATATCATTTTACCCTGATCTCGATAACTTCCATTCTACTTTTTGAATGGCCTTACAACGTTCAGGTTCTCCGTCTTTAGTGAATTTTGCTGAAAAAAAGATATAAAAATTTTATGTTACATGATCGAATAAATAATAGAATCATCAATCGAATCTCACCATGTGGAAATGTTATACTCGGTTTTAATTGCCGAATAGTCCAAGTTGAAAGAGAACCATCCGAGTGACTGCACATGAATTGTTTACCTTCATGATGCCATGTTATCGATGTTAATAAATCATCTGTTTGACATCTATAGTCAGCAATCTTGGTTTTTAAGTCCCATAAAACAACTTGCCCTGATGAATATCCTATAAGCATCTGAAAACAAAACATTCGCGCATATAAGAGAAGTGCGCTTCCTCATGTTAAAGGATACTTCCTTGAAACAAGACGTGGATATATATATATAAATGTATATATATAGGTGACAAAATGTTCTTTTACAATATATCTCGATTCTGTTGTCACGACAATACATTTAGCATATACTAGAGAGATCATAATATAGATAAAAATGTTGTGAACAATGGTTTCTACGAGATTTGTGCGAAGGGCACAGATAAAACTCAGAGATACGATGATTGCGCATGATGTTAATTATCGACTGCTGAAGAAAAACGAATGAGATGGACGAAAGATTTTCATAATCGAAAACAAGTAATCAACAAAGCAGGTTGTGTTATAAACGCGATCGAAAAAATTTATTTGTATTATGCCAAACTAATTATATACAAAATAATTTAATTATACAATTTTAATTTTGTCGTTAAATCTGAAATTAAAATACTTTCCAAGAATTTGAAAGACTTAAATTTCTTAAATTCCTCGTTCACGTAAATTTTTCATATTAGAAATCGCAGTTTCATAATTATAATTCTTAATGGTATTTTATTTAACATCACTGTTTAAAGATAAGAACGTTTTAATACGTTTTGATACTCTTAGAGACAATAAAATGGATATAATTGACGGGTATCGATTAAAATGTGTACAGTCCTCAGTAATTCGTTTATCTGTACGATTTTAAAAAGCACTTTTCTATAATAAATAATATTTTCGTAAATAAAATGGTATACATTTCCTTACACAGTTACAATCGAGAAAAAAATAGTATATTTATACGATATTACATATATAATATCAAATTTTAAACTATCGATATCAAAGACACAGAGAGTTGCAAACGCAACTCAAACACACAAACACTCATCACACACTCATGACTGCACAATTATATAGTAAGTAAATAGAAGACATATTTGCATACGGTCCGTAACAGAAACTCCGTTGTCAGAAGTTGAACTAACAGTGAATTCACATATCAAATGTGTAAAAAGATGAGTGATCATGACCGCGGTATGACTCTTTTATCAATTCATAAAATTTAAATCCATTTTGGAATATTAAACAATATGGATATTCTCCTTCTTTTTCTTTCTTAATGAAATAGAATTAGATTCTCTTTCGTTTGTATACACAACAGTGACAGCATGCACGCATGCACACATACAACATGCAAGCACACACTTGCACTTAGCTTGGATCCAAATAAATAATCCAAGTTTGTAAAGAAAATATATTGAATAAACGCCAATCACGCGCGTTAATGTTCCTCCTTCTTTTTTTTTATCGCGTCACGATAAAATTGAATAATGTCAATAATGAAATTATGATAAGGATGGAATAATAATGCAAAAAAAACGTACTCAAAAACGCGCGTACCTTGCTCAAATCTAAAGGATTATCACTCAAGTGTACTACAGCACCAGGGTGAGTCTTTCTAGATCTGAAAAATATATATATGTATATACACACACATGTATAAGAGAACCATTATTTTTGTGTTATTGTGAAACATATATAAAACTCGTGTGCGGTCTTTAACCGATGTGTTTTATTGTAGTTTTATTATTGTGCTTCAGCTGATAAGTATTACGTATAAGTGTTACGTTATTTAATGTGTGCCGATAATATTTTTATATATTAATTGGCACTATATTATATATTTCAAGAAAACACGATAAGAAAATCGTGGTTAATTAGTAGATATACAAAGAATAAATAATAAAGCATTCCTAAATAGATATAATAAATAGTTAGAGATTTTGTAGCGTATTGATGCCAATAAATCAAACGTACAAGTATTAATAGGCTTTGTCGATATATAGTAATGAATTTTCGGAAAATAGAAAGAAGATCACAGGATTCGCTTATATAAGTTATTTTAAGTGTCTCGCTATTGGGAATTATTCGTAACTAATTATTCATTAACATCTACGGCCACGCTTGTCCGTGACTTATTTACTAGTCAAATAATATTCTCTGACGTCCTATCGGGAAAAGTATCTGTGTCAAAAATAAGATTAAGTCAATACTCTTTTGACTGTCAGACAATTCTGAATTGGGTTAATTTCTACAACTGATTAATTAATAACCTTTAATTTATTTTGTGGATATATTAAGTCCCAATGGTGGTACACTTATAATGAACACCCTTATACCATCACTGCCACATTCACATCTATGTGTCTACAGTCAGGCACAATAAAGAACTACTAAGGTCTCTGACGTCTGTTCCTTCCAGTTAATAAAGTGTACAATACTAGCATAGGTATATAATACTAGTAGAGTTTTTTATTAGGGAGATAATCTCCCCCACACAACGAACGTTATCCGTCCACCGAAATTTAATTAACCTATACATTCACACATTTAGGACACAATCTCGAACGACACATCCGTTATAGGAATTAGTGGAAACGGGATCTGAAAATATATCTTACTTTTCACTCATCTTTTTGAAAAATATTTTCAAGAGACACCCTCGAGACAGCAAGTGCTAATCTGTTATGTAAACGTCTCTTGTAAGGATTACACAAATAACTAAATATATACCTCTTTTAAGATGAAATATTCTCTAAGCCACCATAATTCTTTACTTAATGTCATAAATACAGATTTATTAAGGTAATTTAAAGACGTGCGCGTCAGACGCGCATTCTATATCGATTAACAAAACGAATAGGGAATTACAGTGGCTTGGAAAATATTTTTCAAATTAAAAGAATTATCTGCAAACATATCCGAGATATTTTACCGATAATACGAACTTAAAGTGCCAATATTGTAAAAATTTTAAATAAATCTTTTATCACGTTAACGCTGTTGTTTTTGCAGAGTCTTTCCGTTTGCTTTCAGAAAATTTCACTAAAATAGTGATTAATTAATCAAGCGCTAAAGTTCAGAGGAAATTCACATCATATTATTGCCCTTTGTACTGAAGATCCTATCGCTGAAATCAATCATGTTAAGTGGCAGTTTGCTTCGAAATACTTACTTACCTTAATGTAACAAAAATATTAAATATGTTTGTATTCCCACAATTAATGAAAATAAAAATTACGAAGATTGTCATTAAAATTTATTATGCTTTGCATGCGTTTATCGACATACGGTTGCATTTTTAAACGTATCAGCGTTTTTCGTACAGATACACCGGTTTATATATGCGCTGCGCTTCTTTTATTAAGATTACCAAATATCGTAATAGCAAAAATGTTATATACTTACACTTCAATAGCCTTGTTCCAATTAATTACATATCCGGATAGAACAAACGTTTCAATATGCAGTATGTGAATATTTCCTCGATCGGTCCCAATGTACAACCATTTACTTTGCAACGGTAAATGTATGCAAGTGATTCTGTCGAAACAAATATTACACGTTTCGATTAACACTCGACTGCCGAAAAGTTCAAAGTAGTTTAGTCAGCGCTTGCGGAATGTGAAATCTTTCAAGTATATCACATTCCACTCGTGCAACGTATGATTAAAAGCCGTTAGGTGCACTATGCACGAATCCGTGTATACCGCAAAAGAGCGAAGCTCAAAGCTTAAAATTAGGGAAAGTAACATTAGCCCCGTCGCGTGTTAATGACTGACCTGTCTCTCTGAAACTTGAGGCTATGTACCACCTGCGGTATCTTCTGACGGAAGTTCCACAAATGCAAGGTGTCGTCCTCCGTAGCGGACACCAACGCTCCTTCGTTGATCAGGAACTGCAGTCGCAACACGGGCGAACATTCCTCATGTTTAACGTGTGCATCCACGCCCGGTCTACCCAAACTGTTTTTTTTTCATCCCATCAAATTAAGAAAAATGATCTGTATACACTGGAAGTCGCGATTATTAAATATCGTCGTGCCTTAACACTTTGATTGCTAAGTTGACTTTGGCATGAAGCATAAATCTAGTATATTATTTTAATACTTTATTATTTTTAATATCTTAATATAAATAATTTATATTGTTTCTTTAATATCTTAAATGGGTAATAAAATCATCCATGTTCATGTCTATCAATATAGATTAACTTTTATCTCAATTTATCTTACTCTTTATCTTTTTATAATTCTTATTAGAAAAAGATAAAGTAAATTAAATTGAGATTACAGTTAGTTTATATTGTCAGAAATAAACATTAATCTGATAAATAAAACCGTTCCTTATAACAAATAAATGAATTAAAGCTGATTCTTAGATAACTTTTATCTCAATTTATCTTACTCTTTATCTTTTTATAATTCTTATTAGAAAAAGATAAAGTAAATTAAATTGAGATTACAGTTAGTTTATATTGTCAGAAATAAACATTAATCTGATAAATAAAACCGTTCCTTATAACAAATAAATGACGACGTCCTTATGAATTTGATATGATTTTGCTTGAAGCATCTAAAAATTTACTAAGTATATCTGAAAATAATTTTATTAGACTATCAAAATAATTATACAAGATATTAAAGCTGATTCTTAGAATGTCAAAATTTTTAAAAAATTGCTCATCATGCTTCAGTTTCCTACATAATTATTTTGATAGTTCGTCAAAATTATTTTCAGATCTGTATTTAACTAAATTTATTTAGTTCTTAAAATTTTCCTGTATAATACACGCGATTCAAATATGAGTGACATGGCAGTCAAAGTGTTAATCACAATTCCGCATATACAATAATTCTCTTACCGCGCAATAGCTTATTAAAAGTTTGCGTATATAAAATAACACAAAGATACAAAAATCGAGAAAAAGAGACATTGTTGGAAAAGTCCCGTCGATACCAATTCAATCATATCATACAAATTCGTTAACTTCGGCAAGTCAGTAAAACGTCTTAAATACCGTGAAACCGTAAAATTTTTCATCTACAGCGAAATCGACAGCGAGGTTGGGAACTCTTCCGTTTATAGTTCATCACGATAGTTGGTAATGCCCACCGAACTGCGATGAGCATCTATTACTACACTTTGGCCATGATAGATCAATGAAATCGCTGACGTGTAAAAACACACGGTCGAAGAGCCACGAACCGACAGGACCGTGTAATTAATCCGCTAAAATTGTACAAACTCGTTGTATATCCGAAATTTTTTATAGCGATCACAAAAGCAGGGTGTCGAGTACCTACAGTTTTTACTTCCGCCAGTACAACAATTCTCGACACAAGCGTTGTTTTGTTATATAACATGACAACTGAATTACGCGAGTATATACATGGAAAGAACGATTTTGCTGAAGTATTTAAAAATGTAGGTAGATAGAAATCTGAATATAATTTCGTTGGAGCATCAAAATAATTATGTAGGAAACTCAGGCATGACGCTGCAAAAAGTTTTGATATTCTAGCAACCTAGCAGTTTGAGCGTTCCACGTAATTATTCTGATAGTTTAATGAAATTATTTTCAGACCCGCATCTAATTAAATACTTCAGCAAAGCCGTCTTTTCCATATATTTACTGATGACACACGTGGTCGAGAAAAAATTTGATAATTACTCGACACTACGCAGTAGCAAACACAGTGCATAAAAAAAAAGAAAAAAAAAGAGAGAAAAATTGTATCATGTTGCTGATATCAACGGGTTGACCCGACTTTCGTGTTTTTTTAATCGCCACGCGCATTCTCTTCTGCCGTCGGCAAGAATAAAAAACGTTTAATTGCAGAATGTCGCCCCGTATTAATGATAACGTCGAAGGATACATCCTGAGGGATCCTGATTTAGTGCCAATAGCTAGGAGCCTTTGAACTGGGTCGAATGCCAACGCTGTCGGTTGATGCGGGAAGCCGTGTCTGAATGTCTGTAACATAAAAGGTATCCGTTTCATGTGCCATCTTTCCTGCTTTAGTCGCCTGGAAGTGACTATTCATCCCCGTAAGGGGTTGCGGAGATATATCAGACGGGCCGGGGGGGATGGCATTGTTTCATCGGTTTCTATTGTGTGCACCTCGTGGACAACCTGGCTACTGTTAATTCTATACCTTTGTTGCCCGTAAATGTTAGCGATATGTATTGTTCATCGCGGGTATTTAAAGTCGGTTTCATCGGGCGTTATCCTCGATTTTCCATAAAAAGCCATTCCCTCTCTGTCGTCATTAGGAGGGACCGAAGATGGGAACAAAGTATGTACATCTCACCCTTATCCCTAAACTTTTAAAGAAGTTTCCCTCACGCTATAAAAGTAGATATTTTTATGGGAGGAAACTTACGTCACGTAAAGTAACGCGACATGCGACACGGGGGCCGTATATGCCGATATAGAACGTCATGGCTTACACCGTTCTCCGCTCAAGAAACTTGGCTTAAAACTTTGCCTCGCTCCGTTTTACTGTGCGAACCGAAGGGATGAGGTAATCTTATGAAATGGAAGATGCGCCTCGCCGCGCGCTTTTCGCGGAGCCTGCTCTCGCGATCGTCTTCGTCGCGGTGCACATCAACGACTATCAAAGTCAGTGTAAAAGAAAAAGGAGGGAGAAAGGGAGTATCTCCGAAAAAATTCGGAAGATCTACGTCGTGCTCGACAAATCGGCGATTACGTGAACAAGCTGTGGAAAACCTTAGATCTATTCTTTTTAACTTCTTGCACGGTTCATCTTCCTTCTTTTTCTTTTTACGCTGGAGAGGAAAACAGAAAAAGATGAGCCACGCAAAAAGTTAAGCTGAAAAGAACAGACGTCTTGTTTTAGGACTAACCACGAGCGCGATCGGTGGAGGAGAAGGTGGAAGAGGTGGAGAGTACACACGGGCAACGTACATGCTTTCGAGGTCGATTTTGGTGCAGCGGGATTCCGCCAACCGCTTTTCGTCGCTGGTGAAAACTGCCCTCATTCCATTTCACCGGCCGCACCACTACCGGTGGGCACCGGGGGAAGTGGGTTAAAATATAGCGATACGAAAGTTACGATCGCCCACAGGAGGAACTCTCCCCCTCGCTCTACCTTCCAGCACGGGTTAGGTTCCTCGATTTCGTCGATGTCCCCGAGGGAGGCTCGCCCACGCGCAATTTCCGCCGGGCCGGCTTGCCGGATCGCTGATGGACCCGTCGTCAGCGCAAAATATCTTGCACGAAAAATTACTCGTGTAGAATAAGAAGATTGCAGAGAATTTTAGAAGCTACGTTGGAGTATGCGGAATAATCGCGGCTCAAGTAGTATAATCAATCGTGTAATTTCATCGACGATGCATATCGACGATATTTATTTGCGATATATTCCACGAGATAATTTAATTTTGCTGTAATATCAAGGTCGATCGACATTTCACCGTACTAATAAAAGTGACACAAAAAAGTCAAAAGTTAGTATTTTTTAGATAATAAAAGAAAATTGACTTTAAGACTAATATACATTTCAGGCCAAAAGTTTGGAAACACTTTTTAAAAATTAACGTTTTTGAGATTGCTTAGTCAAGTATCTACAATGTATTTTTTAATAATAATTCTTATGGTCCAATAACTGTCATTGAATCTAAAGAATTATTAGTAAGAAATGGCTACGTTTAGCAGAAAAAAGTTTGTAACTATTGTAAAATTCTTTAATATAATCTTCAATATGATTTAGTTCCAGTGAGGAAGGGGAAACTCACACAATCACATCTTATAATAGTTGCAAAGTAACTTTTCCTGTTGAGCGCAGCCATTATTCTGGATATTTAAGTAATTCCAAAAATGTCAATTTTTAAAAAGTGTTTCCAAACTTTTGGCTTGAATGTATTTTTGTGGAAAAACATTTGTAACCCATTTACTTGTATGGAAAATGTCACAACTCTTATAAGGGATGAAGTTTACGCTGTACTAGCTCCTACGGCGCGAAATATTACAGCAATAATGCAGCAATATTACTTTGAAAGATTACAATATTTGATAAAACATTACTACAATATTTAGAGAAATATTGCAGATATATTGTTGCAACATTATGCAATTCAATAATTAATCCAATTTTATTAATTGCTAACATATTATTGTTTAGCATCATATTCCAAAATACATATGATGTTATGATAAAAAAATATTTAAAGACCTAGAAAACACACTAAAAAAATGTTGGGAATCTCCAGAAGACCAACTTGTTCTGCCTTATGCCTTCTTATAAATCTCTTGTTTTCTTCTTACGAGAAGCGCGTCCATCTCGTGGCGGGGCCGCGTACTTACATCTTGAATTATAATATTGCAGCAATATTGCTACAATTTTGTATAATATTGTGCACTATTAAAATATGCTGCAATATTTTGTGCTGTAGAGGAGGATTACATTGTTCAAATTTTGGAAACTCATGACATAGTTTTAAAGAATACAACATATATAATTAAAAGTATAACAAAGAAATAAAGTGAAATTAAAACGTTCCAATTTTCAGTTTCAAAGAATTTTTAAAGTGCTCTACTTAAAAGGTTGCTAAGTTTGAGATGTGTCATTTTTTCTATCAACGCAGCGATATCGAAGATTTTTTACACGGTTCATTTATACCTTCATCGCTTCATTGCGTGCGAATAAAATCAGGTCAGAAATCGCATCGGTCAAACGGACGCGATCCTTACAATGCTTATCACAACGCAGCATCGATGGACTTCGAAATTGTTAAATTTCTAATTTGCGAGCAAACGTTGAAAGTTGTTGGTCGCTCTCGTGCTCATGCGAGGAAAGTGTTGTTCTGCATGAGAACGCTGACGCGAAACTATTGACCTAATTCTAAAAAGATACGTTGTGTTTAAACAAATTTAGCGATCCTTAATCTATTTGTTTGAAAATTCACACTTCTGCATTCTGGGAAGAAATTTAAATTAAGTATAATGCAAAACGAGAGATGGATGAATAGATAGATAGATAGACAAATATAGATATCACCATTTATTGAACGTTCTAGGAACGCATTCTTTCAAGCGCTAAACAAAACACAATTGATAAAGTAAACTTGATATTACGAAGAAATAGGAACTAAAATAACAGTAAAAAAAAAAGAAAAAATAAAGAGAGAGAAGGAGAAAAAGAGATTTCTCGTGGCAGATGTAATTTCGCGACCGCAGAAATTAATCCGCTCACGCAGCGCGGCGGGCACGGATTATCGTCAGGCAGAAAGCGTTTCACTCGATCGTATTATAGCGTGACGATTGTATTGTAATTTGCGGCGACAGGCCGGGGCTTACCCGACGCCCTGCAGGCGCGACAATCCGCGAGCAAACACACATATGCACGCACGATGTCAGGCCACGTATGTACCTATTCTTTCTCTACCGCGTGAAAAAAATTTCCCCGAGCCACGTTAGCCACAATATGGCAACGCGTTCAAACGCCTTTGAGAGCAACAAATTCGCCGATTGATCATCGCTTCGTTTCTATATCCGTTTTGGCAAACGCGAAATGTATACGTATAACCGTAAGAAAGCACATATTTACATAAGCTTATAAAGGTCGTTTAGGATCAGCCTATTTCCAGAAGATCGGATCGCGTTTAGCGAAAGATTTTTGCTAACTAAACGAAAAGAACAGTTTTGCTGACGTATCTAAAAATTTAGTTATAGATATAGATCTGAAAATAATTTTATTGAATAATCAAGATAATTATGTAGGACGCTCAATCTCGTTGCTAAAATATGAAAAGCATTGCTATTATGCTTGAGTTTTTTACATAAATATTTTGATGGTCCAATAAAATTAATTTCAAATCTGTGTCTATCTAAAAATTTTTAAAGTTTTCGCAAAATCATCCTTTCTATATAAAAATTGGATTAATGCAAAGTGAATTCTACTTCCTGGCATCCTCCGATTTTCACCAAACGAATAAATGAAACAATAGAATCATAGCAATTAACAAATTAAAACGGTAAAACCGACACATATTGTATTATAAAAACTCACACGCGAGACGGCGTAAATTTGCAAAACATTTATCTTTATACAGCTCTGCAATTAATAACCAATTAATTCTATCTCCTACGATATGGTTATATCAGCTTCCTAACACTCGTTCGCGGTGTTATTACACAACGAGATATGTTTATATCGCTTATGTTACCGAGATAATATTTAATTAACTGTTTTCCGCATGTGTCGATACAACCGTAAAAAGAATTAGTTTGATTTTGTTACATGGAAAGAATAGTTTTGCTCAAGCATCTAAAAATTTAGCTAGATACCGATCTCAGTAATTATACTGGACTATCAAAATAATTAAATTGGACACTCAAACTCTGACTGCTAGAACATTCAGAAAAAAAAGTGTTGGCGACTGTATAGGTGACAAATATAGAAATCTTATGTTACGTACAATTAAAGTATATAATTAAATAAACTATTTTACAGTCGCGATAATGTACATAGTTGAACAAGCTATTTTACAATTACAATAACTATGCGATAAAATATCTTATTCAACTATGTACATTAATTCTACGTATGAAACTTGCGCAGTTGTCACCTTTACAGTATTTTACCACTTTATCTTTTTCTCTGAGTAAATGACAAAATTTTTTGCAACATTATCATCGTCCAATAAAATTATTTTGATGATCCAATATACAAATTTTCAAATTTGTATCTAGCTAAATATTTAAATAATTCAGCAAGATCATTCTTTCCTTTTCTTATAAACAATGCAACGAAAAATCAGTAAGATCGATAAATCTCGAGGATTCTTGGTAGAGTTCTCTCGACATAAATTTCATATATTGGTACGTGACGCTTTTTAAAAGTATTCGACATCGCTTGAAATTTCTTGAAATCTGGATCCCTGTTCGTTCGAGCGGCAATTCGTTCGGCCTTGAGCGCATCCTCGATTATTCGCGTTGTCTTTGAGGTACGA